ATAGTGCGGGATTGTGAGATAGTGCGGGATTGTGAGATAGTGTGGGATTGTGAGAGTGTGCGGGATTGTGAGATAGTGCGGGATTGTGAGATAGTGCGGGATTGTGAGATCGTGCGGGATTGTGAGATAGTGCGGGATTGTGAGATAGTGCGGGATTGTGAGCTAGTGCGGATTGTGAGATAGTGCGGGATTGTGAGATAGTGTGGGATTGTGAGATAGTGCTGGGATTGTGAGATAGTGCGGGATTGTGAGATAGTGTGGGATTGTGAGATAGTGTGGGATTGTGAGATAGTGTGGGATTGTGAGATAGTGTGGGATTGTGAGATAGTGTGGGATTGTAAGATAGTGTGGGATTGTGAGATAGTGCGGGATTGTGAGATAGTGTGGGATTGTGAGATAGTGCGGGATTGTGAGATAGTGCGGGATTGTGAGATAGTGCGGGATTGTGAGATAGTGCGGGATTGTGAGATAGTGCGGGATTGTGAGATAGTGCGGGATTGTGAGATAGTGTGGGATTGTGAGATAGTGTGGGATTGTAAGATAGTGCGGGATTGTGAGATAGTGCGGGATTGTGAGATAGTGTGGGATTGTGAGATAGTGCGGGATTGTGAGATAGTGTGGGATTGTGAGATAGTGTGGGATTGTGAGATAGTGCGGGATTGTGAGATAGTGCGGGATTGTGAGATAGTGTGGGATTGTGAGATAGTGCGGGATTGTGAGAACCTGCAGGATTGTGAGATAGTGTGGATTGTAATATTTAGCGAGCGTGGAGCGAGCAGGCGGCAGCGCTGCTCATTTCCCCCCGTTCCGTCTCGATGGTTCCCGCCTCCCGATCGCGGCCACGACGATGTCGTGACGGGGTCTCCTGTCGCTGCCGTCAGAGGCGCTGTCGCCTTGTGGGGGGGATGCGCCTCCTGTCGCCCTGCGACGTCGGGAAGGAAGCCTGCGAAGGCCAGGGGAAGGTTCTCGGGGTCCGTCTGTTGTTCTGCAGCCTCGGCAGAAAGGGGTTTAAGAATCGCTGCCGTGCGCGGCTGAGTGTCCACGATTAGTGCGCGCACTCGTGTGTGTGTAGGTCGGCTCAGCCTCGAATGAGTACCTGGTGCGGTGTGTAGTAAACATCGCCACTCGGGAGACAAAGGCGGCCGGGCGTGGTGCTGGCCACCCACCCCCTCGTGTGCCGTGCCGGCCTTCATAGGTGCTACTCGCTAGCAGCACTTGCCCCAACAGTCTGCTTTGGCTATGCGGGAGATCTTTGCCTTTGTGCAGTGGCGATTACCTGAACCGGTCCTGGGCTTCCCGTAGGTTGACTCAGCCTTAAATGATGTTTGTGTCGTGACGAATAATAATTTAAATGTATATAAAGCGCCCTTAAAGAATCGCTCTCAGGCCGCTGTGCATCATGGCAAGGCAGAACATAGCTAAGGGAGGATCATTGTCAACAGAGACGTTTTTAGTCGAGATTTGAAGATGTGTAGTGTCTCGGAAGCCCCCTGACCTTCAAGGGCAAGGAGTACCAGAGTTTAGGCGACTATCTGAACCGGTCCTAGGCCTCCCGTAGGTTGACTCAGCCTTAAATGAATACCTGATGCAGTGTATATAAACGTGAGCACTGGGTGTGCACACGTGACGAGGCATGATTCTGGCTTCATGCTGGACTTAATAGGTGCTTCCTAACAGCACTCACACGTCTCTTAAAAACTACACACGGGGATTTCTGTCTTCTGTGAGTGAGCGAGAGAATGCTGCTCTGGCTTCTACAACGCCCGTATGCAGGCGTGCAAATTGAGCCAAGCGGAAGCTATCTAATTTGTGAAGCTGTATTCCTATAAATTAATCATTTGAGAGAATAAGCGTGCGTTTAAATTCAAGTCGCTGTTTTCAAACGCACTTCGTGGTGAAGGGGCGCGTCTGTGGGCACGTGCTCGAGACATCCAAAGCGCCGCGTCATCAAGCCCCATGCACAACACAGCGGCAGCCTTGTGTGGGCTGGAGCGATTATGAAACGCCGCGCTTGATCGTGAAAAACAACGGATCCAATGTGCCCAGAGATTATATTTTGTTTTATTAGAATGCACACTCCACCGTGGATCAGAAACATGGACATTGTTCACCTAGCAGGGGATGAAGCATGGAGGATGATGGTGGTGGAGCAGGTAGGTGGGTACGTGAAGAAGCACGTGATTCTTGATGCACACGGCCTGCAAGTAGATATATCATTTGGGCTGTGGCAGTGGCAAGCCGGTGAGAGCATTGCGCTGTGAGCCCAGTGGCATGAGTTCAATTCCTGGCCACAGATAATATTTCGTGGTGAGTTATATCTGAACTGCCTCTGGTCGGCAGGGCTTTTTTCTCTCTCTCACTAAATATCGTGTGGGTCACTGGCAGATTGGACGAGGCATGTAACTAGAAGAAGCAGCTCATGTATGTTGAAAAGTCTACTGGATGTGTTGTTCTGGTGGCGCAAATATTTTTCAGGTGAGCCAAACCGGACATATCTGGCTTAAATTATTCCCTTCGTAAATCGTAGATTCTCTGTACGTTTATTTCAATCGATGGGAGTTGATGTAACCCTGTGTGCCTCGATGGGCGGTCCCCACGTGAGGACGTGGTTCTCCGTGCAACCTCAGGGGGCTCTGTGCGTGACCGGGCATTGATTTTTCGCCGACTATTTTCTGGGTCACCGGTAGACACGAGTAGGTGGCACGTGACTTGTCAGCAGAACACGGCTCACGGCGAGAGGCATGCGGCACGGCACGGGTGGCCAAGCCGGCACGTGCACGGTCACTTCAACCCCCCGAGACTTGCGGAGTGAATGGCAACTTCACGCCGCGCGGAGGGCATCGTTCTTGTGAATGAACACAGGACACACGGGAACATCAGCTTCAGCAGCGCGAGCGACAGTAATTTAATTTCAATTGTGACCTTTTCAGCACCATGAACTTTGCATTCACTTCTATATCTGCAGAGCGCACAAGCCCCGTGATTAATGTATATACACAGGACACATATACACGCAGTATATCTCTCCTGTATATATGTTTATGTATGAGCAGGAGGGGCGCTGCCGCGGTGGGGTGGTCAGCACGCTGGATCGAACCGACGACACGGAACGTCGCCGGTTCGATCCCAGGTTCCGGCGCGGCATTCAAAACAACGGTGCAAACGCCATCCGTCTACACGCCTGCGTCCACCCAGCGGCGTCCACCCAGCGGCGTCCACCCAGCGGCGTCCACCCAGCGGCGAGTCGATCGGCAAGTTGAGTGTGGTGGGGTAAAGTGTGGGTACGCCCATCTCTTCCAAAAAGTGTGGCCGGAGTGGAAGAGTAGGCCAAATACCCAAATATTCTTAGGTTTTTTTTCTCGGTAAAGTCACGTAGGTAAAACTTTTTTATTAATAAAAGTAAAATAAAAATAAAATAAAAAAATTCACGACGTTTCGGAGGCAACACAAGCTTCCGTCTTCAGGTGGAACCGTCACAGCACGATTGCTGTATCAAGTAAGATACAGCAATCCTCCCACCCTCAACCAGTATATATATACAAGGACGGTTTTCTTGGAATTTATCTTACTTGATGCAGCAGTCGTGCTGTGACGGTTCCACCTGAAGACGGAAGCTTGTGTTGCCTCCGAAACGTCGTGATTTTTTAATTTTATTTTTATTTTACTTTTATTAATTTTAATGTTTTACCTACGTGACTTTACCGAAAACAACCTAAGAATATGAATCCTTGCAGTCACGAAAGCTTCAAATCTAGAGCAAATACCCAAACTCCAATCCTCGCGGCCCCCACCACCACCCTCCGTCTTTCCGCATTTACCAATTTCCTCCTCCTCTTTTCTAATACAAATTAACTCGTAACACGCTGCACGCGCACGATGATTGTTAAACACATCCCACGTGACGCACTAAGCAATTCATGCCGCCTGCATTCATAAAGATCCACGAGCTAACATATAGACCCATAGACTCGCATGGAGAGCCACGGGCTAACAGAGACCCACAGACGGCGGTGTAGCGTGGTTGGCTAGGGCCCTGGTAACATGCATTCAATGGAGCTCCGTGTCCAAATCTTCCCCTCTTCGTAGCTCGGAAGGTGCCCCCTTCCCTTCCCCCGCGCAGTTGCACCGCCTGCACACTCACGAGCTGCACGAAGCTGGATCATCGCCGCATCATCCGTTAAAAGCCTCCCGACAGTGGCGACTGTGAGCGATGCCAGCGGTCACATTTAGTGTGTCCTGTCCCCATTGTTTAAGCCGCCTCGAGATTCGCAAAGCCCGGTCAAGCGGGGCCCATCCTTCCCCCCTCCGCTTCCTGTTTTTACGAAACCACAAAAAGTGAGAGTCCAAAGGGAGGAAGCGACGATCGCCCTCGCTCCACGAGGGACACTGCCGCTGCTTGAGAACACGGGGAGGGCGTGGGAAGCCGCTCAACCCGTCCCACGATGCGCCGACTCGGACGCCTTGAGGCGGCCTCGCGAGCCACGTGACCCCCGTGCCAGGGCGGTGCACCCGACTCCAATGGCAAGGACCCGCACGCCCCCCCCCCCCCCCCCCCCCAGTGTCCTACACCCCCCGGCACTCCGTAGGCCAACCACGTGGGGCCCCATGGCCCGTGAGCTCCGGCGCGAAGGCTACGCAACTGCTTTAAACACGCGACTCCACCCGTGGTCAAGTCAAGCGCTCGACTTCTAGACTCGGACTGGGGAGGTCATGAGGTCAAATCCTTGGTTGCGAGTTCGAAGGAGCGCGGCGTCGTCGCTCTGCAGCTGTGCCCCAGTCCGCCGAGGCCCCCTTAAGGGGCTGGCCACGCCAGCTTGTAGACTCACTTCGATGTCCCCTTGGCGGCCGTGATGTTGACAGCGGAAAGGTTGCGTGACGCCCTCTCAGCCCCAATGCGTCCATCCTAAACCCGCGCCACCCCCCACGTCCACACGCCACCCGTCCCACCCCCCTCCTCTCGCCGGCATTGCCCGCTGGCTTCGGGGAAATCGATTCGCTTCGTCCGCGTGAATGTCCCTGGGGCCGCCATCTCCCTTGGGACCAAAGCCAAGGCGCCTGACCCGCAATATAAAGCGGCGGGCATCTCCTACACACGGTTTGTTGTTGTTGTTGCTGTTGTTGCTGTTGTTGTTGCTGCGACGACGCGATGCGCTCTCTTGACGCCCGGCTCGGCGTGTGCTGCGGATCGGCTGGAGCTGATGGGGAGGCGAGGGTCGGCCTGGCCCGAGAGCGTGCGTGCACCCAGCTTGGCACGACTCGATGCCTCGACTCGTCGACCCATCGAGTCCATCTGGACGCTCCCCGCCTTCACCGACCGGCACCGCGCAGCCAGCGTGGCGCCGCGCGGTCCCACGACCCTCCCCGATCACGCCGTGTGCGGGCCGGGCCCTCGTCCAGCGGTGGATTGACAATCGGAACCCGTAACGCGCGCTCGTCGCTCCGTCGTGTCACGTCCCCGTGCCCTCTTCCTCGCCTTCCTCCGTGCAGACCGCGCCACCCGCATCTTCCGCGGCGGCGGCGGCACCGCCGTCGTCACCATCGACGACCGTCGCTCCGTGCGACGACGCTCCGTGTCGTCAGATGGCGCCCTCCCGCCGCTTGCTGTGCCACACGATGAGCCCCGTGGCGGTGGCCACGAGCAGCGCGGGCGCGGCGATGAGCAGCGCGAGCAGCGCGGGCGGCGGGTCGGCGGGCGCGGTGTCCTCCCAGGGGCACTCGGAGAAGAACGCGCGGTGAGCGCCGGCGAAGAAGCGGTCCACGGCGGCGCTGGGCCAGAAGCAGCCGCGGCGTCGCGACGCGGCCTGCGTGCAGTTGGTGAGCTCGCCGTACCACCTGCGGGCCGAGCGGCGTGCGGCACAGCGCGTGGGCCGCGGCTTTTGTTTTTGTTACAGCGGATGTTAAAGATCCAAGAGTGGTGCGTGTGAGTCGTGTGTAGGGTGTGGGGGGGGGGCGGTGTGTGTTTGGGCCATTGTGTGTGGGGGGGGGGGGGGGGGGTGTGTCTGTCGGCATCACGGGCCAACTTGACCAGAGTTGAAAATGACCCTGCCGACCGAGTCTTTGCTCCATGGGCTTTACTTGGGAAGTAAACTTCTGATACTTGTTCTGAAACGACTCAATTGGGATGACACAGAGCAGACTGATGTTCCGCTAGCACGCCAGCTCCTGAATCGGATTTTGCCGGAAAAGGCTCCCACCGGGGGTTGCTCCTTTGAACATGTTTTGAGACGCTACGTGGTGGAGCTCGCTCCGTCGCCTGTAAGGCACTCGTTCGTACACCCCGCAGTATTAACCAGGGCGACCCGCGGGATTCGAATCCCGTACAAAGCTTTGCGACAGCGGCGATCGCGCTACCGCTGGGCCTGCACGCATGGGAACCCACGAATAGAACCCGCGAATAGGAACCCGCGACTGGGACCCCGCGCCCCACGTGGCCGCGGTAGTTGGAAGCTCACCTGGCCGACAGCTCCCAGGTGCACCAGTCGGCGCGGGGCCCCAGGGCCATCATGCGCCGCTCGAACTGCTGTAGGCAGAGCTGCATGGCGCTCGCCAGCAACGCCTCGACGCACGTGTGCACTGCACACACACGCACACACACGCACACACGCACACACACGCATACACACACAAAGACCCCCCGTATAGCCTTAGCAGACTGTTGAGGCAAGTGCTGTTAGCGAGCAACTATGAAGAACGGAACGGCACACCAGGGGGTGGGTGGCCAGCAACCAAGCCCGGCCGCCTTTGTCTCCCCAGTGGCGATGTTTACGCACCGCAGCAGGTACTCATTTGAGGCTGAGTCGACCTAGGGGAGGCGCAGGACCGGTTCAGATAATCGTCACTGGTGTTGGCCGTGAGCGGGAATCGAACTCAGGTTGCCGGGTTCGTAGCGCAGGACGTTAACCACTACACTACCGCTCCACACGCACACACACATGCACACATACACAAGCACGCACACATACACACATACACATGCACACACGCACACATACACACATACACACATACACATGCACACACGCACACATACACACATACACATGCACACACGCACACATACACACGCACACATACATACACACACGCACACATACGCACACGTACACGCACATACACACGCACACATACACACATACATACGCACGCACGCACACACACACGTACACACACATACACACGCACACACACACGTACACACACACACGTACAAAGGTAAGGGGGTGCTGGCGAGCACGGCTCAAGGCCAGCACGGCGCATGGTCACCACCTTCATCTCCCCGACGCTGACGACGTCTGCACATCGCACCCGGGGCTGCTTCACGACTGAGTGGACCCAGGTGAGGCCCAGAACCTGTTCAGGTATTCGCCACTGACGATGGCCGTGACTGGGAACCCAACTCGGGTTCGCTGCGCAGTATGTCGGGTGGTGGAGGGTCTTGACGACACACATTTGGTCAGATGGTTACGTGGCCTAGCCCCCCCCGCCAAACAAAAATCTGTGACGAATCTTGCGTCAAGGCGGACCGCGTTGCCGCACGAGCTTGCCATTCGGAACCTGGCCATGCAGCGGCTGTTTTAAGGTCGGTTCGTCCACGTGGTCTCGTGTTGCTGTAGTAGTAGCCAGGTGCCTATGGTGTAACCAACTCCACCATCAGAAATTAGTTTTTATTGCGCAGTGAGTTTTACCTGTCCCAACAATAAACCCAAACTAAATCTCGTTCGCCTCTGAGTGTTTACAATTGGTTCATCCGATAACAATCGGACGGCCGTGGCCGAGCGAGCGAGCGAGCGACGTTCTTGCAGAAGTTCGACTGCGTACGGAGCCGAACTCGGGCACACCCCGAGTCCCAGCTGCTGCGAGAGAAGCCCCCCCAATCACGCCACGTCATCGTGGGCCCCCCAAAATGAGTGCGCGCAGTGTCGAGTGGCTCGGCCTCGAGTTCCACACCGCAGCTGTATGCTGCTCCGAGTCTCAAGCTGAGCACTCGCTCGGCACACTACGAGCCCCAGCGTCGTCAGCGAGCCGAGTAATTCGCGTGCCCGCGGAGTGTGAAACAACGTAATAAAGATCCTCCCGCGTAGCCTTAACAGGCTGCTGGGGGCGAGTGCTGTTTGCGAGCCACCACGTACAAACACACAACGTTCATCGCGTGTGTGGCATGGCAGCCTTGCGTGTGCACATACCGCATGTCCACCACGTGCGTGACAAAGTAATCGTCACGTGGCACCATGAGCCGCGCTCTATCCACTGCTGGATCAAGAGACTCCGTCACGCTGCGCGCCATCCCTCTCGGTCACGCGAAGTTATTAATTTATACACAAGACAGTCACCCCCCACCGCCCACACAGCGTCCACGATAAACTTGACCCCAGACCCGCCAGCGTGACCTGGCCGAAAGGATTGGGGTGGTGGGGGGCACGACACGGTCAATGCGAAACGAAAGGTTGAAACCGAGAAACAGAATGAGGCACGGTGCCCTCTGTGGCTAAATTTGGCTCATTTGTGTTCCAACATTTTACGAGCTGATTCTAAAAACGTCGGAGTTTAATTGAGTGGGGGAGCCTTCAGCGGGGTGGGGAGGAGAGGGGGGGGGCTGCTCATCGCCCTCCAAACCCCCCCCCCCCCGGGACTGCTTCACCGTCACCCCGACTCGAACCCTGACCCGCGAGGGTGCCGCTGGCTGGGCCCAGCTCCTACCTGGGGCGGCCAGGGCCAGCAGCGCGGCGCACAGCGCCAGGGGTGCACGCCGCGAGGGCATGGCCCCTGGGGCCTCCTCCGACAGGCCCGGCCCTCCTCCTGCTGCTGCTGCTGCTGGTCCTGCTGCTGCTGTGGAGCTGTTGGTGGTGGTCCTGCTGCTGCTGGAGCTGGTGGTGGTGCTGCTGCTGGTACTGGTGCTGCTGCTGGTGGTGCTGCTGGAGCTGGTGGTGCTGCTGCTGCTGCTGGTGGTGCTGCTGCTGCTGGTGGTGGTGCTGCTGCTGGTGCTGCTGGGGCTGGTCCTGCTGGTCCTGCTGCTGCTGGTGGAGCTGTTGGTGGTGCAGCTGTTGGTGGTGCTGATGGTGGTGCTGGTGGTGGTGCTGGTGGTAGTGCTGCTGGTGTTGGTGGTGCTGCTTCTGGTTCTGCCGCTGGTGCTGCTGATGCTGCTGGTGCTGCTCTTACTTCTTTCGCACGGTACGTAGCCAACCGTGCTAATCGGAGGTGCGGGGGGAGCACAACGGCGTTGCGTTACCTACTGCTGCTGGTGATGAGACCTGATGATGCTCCTCCTCCTATCGCGTCTCCTTTTGTCTCCCTTCCGTTGCTCTTCCTGACGTCCCAGCTTCTGCTGCTCCTCTACCCCTGCTGCTCCCTGCTGCCCTTATCCCTACTACTGCTGCTTTTCCACTCGCTCCTCGCCTGATCCCCCCTCCTACTCCTCCTCCTCGACAATGCTGATTCTGCTGTGGGTGGTGGTGATGACGACGACGATGATGCCAGTGTCGCCCTCTCACTCGGAGAGCGCGCGGCAGAACTCCGACAATGAATCTTCTCGTAGTCTCGAACCGGACTCGCGCACAGTCACCGACAGACACACACACAGACAAAGCTCCCCCGTGCAGCCCGCACACGATGTTGGAGCAAGTGCTGTTAGCGAGCACCTTTGACCAGAGCCTACCCCGTCCGGCCGCCTTGAGTCTCCCCGGTCCTGACGGCTAAGGCTGAGTCGACCGGGGTGCGGCAAGCCAGGGAGCGCTTGAGACCATCACCAGCGGTGAGATCATCACCAGCGGTGAGATCATCGCCAGCGGTGAGACCATCACCAGCGGTGAGACCATCACCAGTGGTGTTCATTCACTCCGAGACTCGGTACTCGAGCCGCCAAGTTCGTCAGCGCAGCGCGATAACCATGACACTGCCGCTCCCCGCACAGACGACTCAGACTCGCACTGACTCGCACTGGCAGCGGGTGAGCTCTGCTCGAGGTAATTATAGCGCTGAGCTGGCGGGGGGGGGGGGGGCCGCCACGTGCCCTCTCTCACACGCACAGACACGCACGCGCACACACACACGCACGCGCACACACACACACGGACGCGCACGCACACGGACACGCACGCCCGCGCACCTCCCACGGGACCTCCCTTGGCACACACGGTCTATCCTCAGAGACCACACATGCGTACCACGGTGAGATTCACAGACCATAGCAGAACAAAACCGTGTTGCCCTTGTCTATTGTTGTTGTCTATTGTTGTTTTGTCTAGTGATGCCAAGAAACAATTTCAGCTGAGGAAGCGCATTGGACGCCTCCAGTGGTGTGATGGTGGTGATGGTGATTAGTGGCGGTGGTGGTGGCGTTAGTGAAGATGTCAGTGTTGGTGATGATTGTCGTGGTAATGATGACTGTGATGATGTTGTTGATGGTGGTGATGATGCTAATGATGATGTCAGTGATGGTGTCAGAGTATTTATGGAAATATGTTGATAATAATGGTGGTAGCGAGGGTCATAACAATGATGATGATGGTACATACGTTGATAACGTTGATGCTGGTGTTGATGATGGTGGTGATGATGATGATGCTGATGGTGATGATGATGGTGTGGATGCGATGCAGGACTGGAGAGACTGTTGTGCATTCTGCGCGGTACAGAAATCAGTGAGGCTGTATGAGGCTGTGTGGCTCTATGAGGCTGTATGAGGCTGTGTGTGCGTGGGGAGTGGTGGTGTAGTGGTTAGTGCGCTGTGCTACGCTACGAACCCAGCGACCCGAGTTTGATTCCCGCTCATGGCCAACACCCAGTGATGATTATCTGAACCGGTCCTGGTCCTACCCTAGGTCGACTCAGCCTCAAATGAGTATCTGGTGCTGTGTGTAGTAAACATCGCCACTCAGGAGACAAAGACGGCCGGGCGTGGTGCTGGCCACCCACCCCCTCGTGTGCCGTTCCGGCCTTCATAGGTGCTAGCTAACAGCACATTCTCCTCCAGTCTGTTAAGGCTACACGTGGTTAGCGCAGTGCAGTGCAGCACCTCCACTCCCACCGCGTCTTAACTCCAAACGCCTCTCAACCACGCAACCGCTGCCTCGACTTGAGCGCACGCAGCGCCGTTCATGACGATCGGTTAATTGGTGATCGGTGATGCTGATCATCGATGACGACGGAATAGATTGTGGAGGTGATGCTGCTCATGACGATGGTGATAATGGTGACGATTGGCGGTGGTGGTAATGATGTTAAGAATGACGATCGGTGATTAAAACAAATTATGAGGATGACGTTAATGATGGTGATGAATGATGACGATGAACTCTGATTTCGCTGCTACTGCTGCTCCTACTATAATGTAAAATCAGTGCTGCTGCACAACAGTGAAAGTTGGAGAACCACCAAGATAGACGTGAACTCCCTACCAACCTTCCACAACAACTGCCTGCGTAAACCCTGTCGCATCTTCTGGCCAAACAAGATTTCAAACCGGGACCTGTACGTACATCGAGATCAATTCAAGATGCGTAACCCGGAACATGAGAGAGAGAAGACTCGGGGTGGCTGGGACACGTGCTGAGAATGGAACCCGAGTGCGTAGCGAAAGCTGCCCTGGGTGAACACCGCAAGGGAAGAGACCACGGGGCAGGCCGTAGGGCTCCTGGCGACGGCACCGTTCAACACCAACTCGAGACCGCGGGGGGCTGTCTTGGGGTGAAGCGGAGAAGGCAGCTAAAGACCGTCCGGCGTGGCGTGGCTTGTGGCGGCCTTGTGCTCCACATGACGCGAAGAGGAGTCAGTGATTCGTCTTCTTGGTTCTTTCGGTAAAGTCACGTAGAAGGGAAATAATAAAATAATAAAAATAAAATACAATTCTCACGACGTTTCGGCCACAACGCAAGCAGCCGTCCTCAGGTGAAGAACAGGTCTGTCGGAAAGACAGCGTCTGAATGAACACCACCAAGCTTGGCAGCGTATATTTAAGCTGGGTTAGAGGGAGTCAGTAAGTCAGCACTACTGATGATGATGGTATGAGAGTCTGTGTAATGAGTGGCTCTCTCTCTCTTCGCTGTGTGCGGTGTCCGCTGTCTGCCCCGGGATCTCAGTCTTGACTGAGATCGGCTGCCTGATCCACACGCTCAACCATCGACAATGCGACTTCACAATTCTGACGATGATGATGATGAAGTTTGGAAAGCCGAATGGAGTTCACAATAAGAAGTCACGAGCAACAAACACCTCCTCCTCGGTAGAGATCCGGTGACGCAGAAGATCGATGGCTTTGATCTTCATCCCTGAACCTCCTGGGGCCACACCCGCTGAACCGCATCCACCGCACAGAGACCGCGGCAGAACAGATGCGGACACTCGCTGGCGCTGAAATGAAACTCTCCGGCAGTGTATGGAGACTGCGGTCACCACCCAGAATAGAACCGCGCAACTCACAGCGACTCCATGATGCCCGATTCACAAACACGAAGGAGGTGACATCGTCATCGTCATCATCACGGTGGCGCTGATTCACCACCCCCCGCTCACTCATCACGCAGTCGTCTGGCTCACCACCCACCTGATATAAAAGCACAGTTGCTGCTCTCCATCAACACGGGCACATCCACGCGAAGCGTCCGGGCGGATCGCGATTAATATCAATGCGACTCCTGCTGCTGCTGCTGATGATGATGATGATGCGACTGATGCTGCTGCTCCTGCTGCGCGTGAATCGTCTCTGACCTCTTGTGAAGTGAACGCGCAGCACTGCAGGCCGAGTCACGGGGTGGGTGTCTTTGGACAGATCTCATCCCGAACGCTGCACCTCCAAGAAATGAAAACTCATTTCTTTAGAGCTGCTTTTTGTGCTTTAGTTTGTTGACCTTCCCCCGGAACCTCCGATTAGCACGGTTGGCTACGTACGGTGCGAAAGTAGTTCAACATACAACATACATACAACATACATGTTGCCGGTCGCTTGGCGTCTTGGCCCTGTGGGCCACTGCGCTCAGCAAGCCGTGGATTCACTACAGAGTCACCGAGAATGCGCCCGATCTCGCCAGGGCTCAGAAGCTCAGCAGATGTTGAGCCTGGATATTGATTGAATGGGTGACCACAATTCATCACCAAACAAAGACAAAGATGCCCCTATATTCTTGACATACTGTAGGGGCAAGGGCTGTTAGCGAGCACCTATGAAGGCCGGAACGGTACACGAGGTGGTGGGTGGCCGCCTTTGCCTCCCCAGTGGCGATGTTTACACACCGCACCAGGTACTCATTTGAGGCTGAGTCGACCTAACACACACACGCGCAGGCGCCGTGGGCTGCTGTTCGGGGGCTTGAGAGGGCAGTGCCGCACGAGTCCATTGCTGTGACTGCCCTTCTCTGCTCCAGCGACTTTGCGTTCCGCCTTCACCCACCCGCGCTGACCAGCGTGGTGAAGTATGGTCAAATACCCCCCCCCCCCCACCACGATCCGTGCCGCGTGGGGAGCCTCTCATGCAGCAGGGGGTTTACGAGCGGCTTGCACGTGGGACGAGTGAAAGGATGAAGGCGCAGCCCTTCGACTCGCTCGCTCACCCCACCTCTGGAAGATACCCCCCCCCCCCTCTTCCCCACACCCTACCCCACCCCTGTCGCATAATTCTAGATTTGAAGCTTTCGTGACTGCAAGGATTCATACTCTTAGTTCTTTCGGTAAAGTCACGTAGGTAAAAAATGAAATTTAAATTAATGAAAATAAAATAAAGATCACGACGTTTCGGAGGCAACACAAGTCTCCGTCGTGCATTAAACTTGATGCACGACGTTTTGGAGGCAACACAAGTCAGTTTCCGTCATCAGGTGGGACCGTCACAGCCAGATTTGATGCATCAAGTTGCCTCCAAAACGTCGTGATTTTTATTTTATTTTTATTAATTTTAATTTCCTTCCCTGTCACATACCCACGCATCGTGCAGCTGGGTGGATAGAGGCGGCGAGGGGGGGGGGGGATTTAATTAACTCTCTCTGTGCATGTAAATTATTATTTTTTTAAAATAATAATCATCCCTGCTACCGTCGCTCGCTTTACAGGGCTCGTCATCCATCATCCTGGAGTCGAGCGGGACGTTCTCAGCCCACCCCCAATGAGCACAGAGCAGCCGTGACGCGCTCGTTGTCAGCACGTGGCAGTGAGTGTCGAGGTGGAAGTTGAATTGCAAGCCGGCAGCTCGGCCCAGTCGAGGAGCCTCGGGGCTTCTTGATGGGATCCGACCGCGCGACGAAGCAGGCGAATGGAACCCACACGCGTTGGACGCACAACGACTTGCGGAGAGACGCACCGACTTGCACGCGTGCATAGAGACCCCCTATACATGCATAGAGATCGATACACGTGCATTGAGACCCCGTACACGTATGGAAGATACACACTCACGCAGAGACCCGTAGACTTGCAGAGAGACCCAGACGCTTGCACGGAGATCCATAGACCAACACAGATACCCGCATGTAACGGAGAGTCCCTGTGGTGGAGGTGGTCTCTACAGTGGAGATGCCCCTCTCGTGGAATTAGGGCCCTCTGGTGATGCCTTGTGGTAGAGTTGGTCCCAGGGGTGGAGGTGGTCCCTGCTGTGGAGGTGATCCCTGTGGTGGAGATGGTCCCAAGGGTAGAGGTGGTCCATGTGGCGGAGGTGGACCCTTTAGTGAAGTTGGTCTCATTGGTTGTGGTAGTCCCTCTAGTGGAGATAGTCCCCCTGTGGTAGAGGTGGGCCCTGTGGTGGAGGTGGTCCCTGTGGTGGAGGTGGTCCCTGTGGTGGAGGTGGGCCCTGTGGTGGAGGTGGGCCCTGTGGTGGAGGTGGGCCCTGTGGTGGAGGTGGGCCCTGTGGTGGAGGTGGGCCCTGCGGTGGAGGCGGTGCCAGGGGTTTGTATTTCGCGCAATGGCAACGCCGCCCCCTGCTGGACGAACGGGGCGCAGTGTTGCCGATCACCGCAATTCGCCACCGTCCCGGGTCCAGCCTTCGCCGATGATGACGTCATTTTCCGGGTAACGCCCCTCCGACGGTGACGTCACTTTCCTCTGGGGCGACATGACGTCACGCGGCGGGGGCGTGGCGCCGCAGTGATCCCGGAAGTGGGTGGCGAGGGCTCCGCGTGGTTTGCGTCTCGCGCTCCACGTGAGTTTCCTCGGCGGAGAAGTCGAAACGCCGCCACCGTGGGCGGCGTTCACCCGGCAAAACACGCGACGTTCGCCCGACGTTGGCATGCGGTTGGAATGGTTGGACCAACGTTGAGGTTGCGGTTGGAGCCGCTGGACCAACGTTTGGCCTAACGTCCCGTATTTACTGGGCAGTCGTATCACCGCCACTGTTTAATTCGCTCCTCATGTCGCGTCCAACTCAGACCCCCCGCCCTCGCGCATCTCGCAGAGATGGGGGGAGTCCTTGACTCTAAACCTCTGGGGATTCTCCGCGGCGTTGCTTCACGCAGCCCGGCAGCTGGTGGCGAGGCACTCGATGCTGCTGCTGCTGCTGATGGAAGGTTCCAGCCGGCCTCACGATGAGCCGTTAGTGCGCGAAGCCAAATCCCCTCTGGGTTCACAATTGGCTACTTTTTTGATGGATGGTGGTGGTGGTGTAAGTTGTGTTTGTTGGAGCTAGGGGCTCTTGGAACGTGTCCACAACATTGTTTAAACAGCGTGGTTGGCGCACGACGACATCACCCTGCGTCCCCACGGCGAACATGAGTGACGAGTGACGATCTGAACCCGGTTCTCCCCCCCCCCCGCCGCCTTCACACACCCCTTACCGACCGGCGTGCCTGGCAGCCGGCACGACGCCCGGCAGTTTGTGTCGACAAAGCGGCAGTGGAGTCGAGCGAGTTGTGAACCTGGTACACGATGATCCCACGTGCCTCGTCGTCACGTCGCCTTCTCTGTGCTCGCTGCGCTACTCCGCCAAGGATCTTGCCACGCGAGGCGTTTGCCTGCGCGTCCGTCCGTGGCTGCGCCGTCAGGCGAGGCCGAACATCTTCACGAATCTCCCCACTGCTGCTGCTGCTGACAAACATCTCTCTCGCCTCCCCCCCTACCCACGTCTCCCCGCAGAGACAGCGAGACAGAGCGAGAGAGACACAGCGAGCCGGATCCAGGAGAAGACGGGAGCAGGGGTCGAACCTTCATCATCATCATCCCCACGACCATGAGGTGAGAAGCGGACAGCCGCACCCTTGGGGGAGTCGTGGAGGTTGGAGGAGGTGGTTGGAGGAGAAGGTGGTAGTGTTAGGTTCCGCTACGATGGAGTAGCGCCGTGGGTAGGCCCAACGTGATTCAATTCCGGGCAAAAACTGCCCCAAGCGATTCCCTTGCTCAAATGAGCATTGAGGCGGTGCTAATTTCCCGTTTACAGCCCTGAGCCATTGGTGGAAATTCCACGTTGATATGGCCAGAGCTAGCACCGGAATAACAGCATGACTTTGCCAACAACGAAAACTCCGTACGGTACTTTATAGTGCCGTGAGTTTGGGGTTAGGGTTGTGATTCCGAGTTTCTGGGAATAACTTTGATTGAACGTGGAGCACACTTTTGAATATTTGCACCTTCATGGGATGTTGCCCTCAAATGTTGATGGTATGGCGATGTTATGGTTATTGTAATAGTGTTATGGTGAGGGCTATGGTGATATTAGGATTATGATGATGTTAGGGTTATGGCGATGGTAGGGTTACGGCAGTGTGAGGGTTATGGCAATGTTCGGGTTATGGACGATGTTAGAGTTATGGTGATATTAGGGTTTTGGCGATAATAGGGTCATGGCAATGTTCGTGCTATGGTGATATTAGGGTTATGGTGATAATAGGGTTATGGTGATTGTAGGGTTATGGTGATTGTAGGGTTATGGTGATATTAGGGTTATGGTGATATTAGGGTTTTGGTGATGTAAGCGTTTTGGTGATATTAGGGTTTTGGCGATGTTAGGGTTATAGCGATGTTCGGGTTATGGACGATGTGAGGGTTATGGTGATATTAGGGTTATGGTGAGGACTGTGGTGATGTTCGGGTTACAGTGATGTTAGAGGCCGGATATTGGTGATGATGTCACCTGAAGCACACCGACTGCCCTTGGACAGATCGTATCAGAACGTTTATAGCAGAGCCAGGGAGTGATGCAACGTCGCCGTCACCGGCATGTTCGCAGTCACCGGCGTGGTCGCAGTCACCCGTCTCGCCGCTGAACATCGCCGTCTCTCCGCCTCTCGCCCCCACCCCCCTCCGCACAGCGGCAGGAGCGCCGTACTTCACCGCGTATCGGTGTTTGCGCTGCAGGACGCCGGCAGCGCCGACCTCGTGGCCGGCCTCGCGCTCGCCCGGCCGGGGACCGGGCGAGGCGCCGCCGTGCCGTGCGACGCGGAGCCGGAAGTGTCGCCGGCCCCGACGGTGCCGGCGGAGGAGGCGGCTCGGGAGCGAGCGGGGGCCGGCACCGGCGGGGAGGAGGGAGGCGAGCGAGGCGGATGCTCGGCCTGCCGGTGCCAGTTTGAGAGTCGCGAGGAGCAGGTGAGCGCACGCGACGCTTCTCGTACGGACGCGGCCAGGTCGTGGTCGCCCATTGCGGACGTGTTAAGTACCCGGGTCGGAAATTCTTGACGGATATCTTGTCGTGACAATTTGTCGTCGTGGAACCGTCGGCAAATCTCGGTCGATGACGGAATTGGTGACGGGCAAAAACCGCTGTGGCCGATCTCCGCTAAGTTTCGCGACGGCTTCTCCGGCCGTGCCGCATCTCATGGCGCCTGCGGTGCGGCGCGCCATCTTCCTCTCTCAGACTCACTTCAGTGGCGTTCTCTGGCAACTCTTCTTTGTCGTCGATTTATTTGTTTTCGTCCATCATATTCTCTAGACGCCGAATTCCAGCCCTTCTCTCCCTCGGACGGTGTCTCCCTTTTCAGCGTCCAAGGCTCAAATCCAAGCAGTCCCATCGGCTACATGGGGCCCTTGAGGAACAGTAGTCGAGTCTTCATTGAGCCCTCCGTCAGCCAAGCGGTTCGTACCGCCTCTGCGGTTCGTACCGCCGCTCTATAGGGTGCCTTGGCCATCCCAGGCGTGGTTTCTCAACTGCGAGCGTTTGTACTCCACCCTGGTCTCGTAGGCGGTGCAGCACGGCACCAGGCACGAGGCCGTGGCACGGCGCATTGCGCAGAGATCGGCAACCGACTTCTGGAACGGCAGCGAACGTTATAAATCGACGTCTAACCAAGCAGACGTGGCTCAACACCGACGGCCCATAAATTCTACAGCTCGCCGACTCTCAGGGCCCTTACTCTCAGTCACGGCTCAGCTACGGCTCGGCTCCGGCTCGGCTCCTAAATCGGCTTGGCTCAGCTCTTGAGCCAATCGGCTGCTTCTAAAAGACGCGTGAGTGAGCGGCTCAGCCGTGGCTCGGCTCAGGCTCAGGCTCATGGAAAATCCTGAGCCATGGCTGGGATAATTGCTGAGAGCCGGCTCAAGTTAAAAAGCCGTGGCTTTGAGCCGTGGCATTGAGCCGTGGCTCACTTGACCCAGGGCAGAGCCTGCGCCGAACCGTGGCTAAGAGTACGGGCCTCACACGTGACCGGAAAGTCTCGTCGCCATCATCATCGTGATTGCGTCATCGCTATCATCATCATCTCTTCCTCCGCCCGCCCCAGGTGGAGCACTACAAGCTCGACTGGCACCGCTTCAACCTCAAGCAGCGTCTCGCCGGCGCCGCCACCGTCAGCGCCGAGGAGTTTGAGGAGCGGACAGGTGAGGAGTGGGCGGCCGCCTCCCGTGACGTCATCAGCCACACCGCCCCCTACCGGCGGAGTAACGGCCACTGCACTGCATGGCAGGCGTGGTAAACACAATAAGTGTGGGGATGGCGATGATGATGAATGGGGATGGCTTGTGGTGGCCTTCATCCAGCAGTGGATCGCGTGTGGCCGCAGGTGACATCTCAAGCATCTCCGGCTCGGAATCTGACTCCGACTCGGAGCCGTGGGACGAGCCTGACCCCTCCCAACCTCGCGACCTTCAACCCCGGGGGACGCAGCACGACGGGAAGACGGAGGAGGAGGAGAGCGGCCCGGCACGGCAGTCGCTCCGCGTGCTCTTCACGAACCGTGCGCAGCAGACGCTGTCGCTGCACCGCTGCGTGCTGCACAGAAAGCAGGTGCCTGGGTCACACGACTGCATGTGCAGTGAGACGATCAGGAATCGGCCTGATGCCAGAATCGGGAAATTGTTAAACCCCCCCCTCCCCCCGCCTTGCCCACGGTTCCACACAAAGTGAGGGTCCGTGACTCTGGGTCACGATTCGGTTCTAGAACGGATCATCTTTAGTCGCTGTGGTGGGTGTAGTATTTGTAGGCGGTGGAGCGGTGGGCACAGCGGTTCACTCACTGCACTATGAACCGTGGGCACGGTTCACATCAGATTACACTGATGTCTGCACTGGGCCCAGGCCGGGTGAGGCCTTCATCCAGCGGTGGATAAGATGTTGGCCGATAACGATTGACGATGAAACGGGGTGCGTGGCCGTGAGCGTGCGTGCGTGTGTGCGTTCACAGGAGACGGCGCAGGACGTCGACGCCGTGGGCCGCGTGCTGGCGCTGGACGCTCGCACCAAGTGGGCCGTGCTCCTGGCAGGAGGAGGCCACTTCGCCGGCGCCGTCTTCCAGGGGTGCGTGGGAGACGACCGCCGGTTCCGCCGAATCAGAGTTTGTGTGTCTCTCCCTGTGGTCGCGTGGATTTTTCTCCTGGTCCTCCGGTTTTTCCCTCCACATTTATAAACATGCATTTAGAGTATTTGTCTGTGATACATTTCCACGTGATAAGCCACTTCGTTAAGCTATCATTTGTGGCCAAGTCGCTTCTGAAAAAGAGCTACATAGTACATCTTTTATCGTTTAGTTTCTCCCCACTGATGGCCGAATAAAACTCGGAAACACTGCGCGTCAACTTGCCCCTTAGCGGTGTCCACCATTAATCCGTGTCTGTCGACCCGCTATAAAGAAGCCCTTGCATTCGAAAATACTGCCCTCCAGCACCCAATTAGTGCCCCTACGATGCTGGCAGGAACGGATAAACACTGTGCAGGCTCCGGTGGAGTGGTAGGCCTCTACTGCGCTGGTTTTCACGGTCGTGCCGCGTCGCTGTGCGATGGATTTTCAGGGTCGTACCGCGTGCCGTTCGTCACGATGTCTTACGATGTCCGACGTTTCGCAACCACGCGCTGGGAGCTTCTGTGAACGGAGCGGCGTTTCCCCATCCTGCAGGGATACGGTGCTGGAGCACAAAACGTTCCACCGCTACACGGTGCGGGCCAAGCGCGGCACGGCGCAGGGGCTGCGCGACGGGCAGAGCCGTGGCAACGCGCCCAAGTCGGCCGGCGCGTCGCTGCGCCGCTACAACGAGGCGGCGCTCGCCAGGGTACGTTGTCGCGATTCCGCCGCAGTGCCCAGAGCGGAGTCCCCCGTGAGGGCCTCGCTAATCTTCGAATCAAGGTTCGCTAAGAGCTCACGGATGAAGCGTCCGGCGAGAATCGCATCTGGGAGGAGAATCTAATGGCAAGTTCCTGAGTAAAAACATTGTGCACAGAGCTGAATGGAAGGAAGTTCGCGATCGATCGTTGACGTCTTTTAGACAGGCACAGAGAGAGGCGAGACAGAGAGCACGAACGCGGTGACCCGAGTTCCCGGCCGTGGCTGACAGTTTCCCGCCCGTCCGTGCCGGTGGTGGTGGTGTGCAGGACGTGCGCGAGCTGCTGGAGAGGTGGGCGCCGCTGCTTCGCGAGGCCGACGGCGTCTTCGTGCGCGCCGCCAGCTACAGCCGGGCGCTGTTGTTCGGCACGTGCGCACCGCTGCTGGCACGGGACGACGCCCGCGTGCGCGCGGTGCCCTTCGCCACGCGGCGCGCCACCCACGCGGAGGTGGTGCGCGTGCACCGCGAGCTGGCCGCCGTGCTGGTCTACGGTGGGCGCCAGCGGCCGACACCCACCCCGTCGCGTCCCTACCGATTGCGCATTCGCAGCGGGCCACGGTTGCGTTTCATGTCACGTGCGCATGTATGTAGAACTATTTTCGTATCGTACGTAGCTCACTGCGCTAATCGGTTTGCTACAACTGATGTTGAAATAATGATAGTTGTAATATACATGTACGTATTTACCCAGCAGAGCCACACTGAGTCAGCAGCACGCTGCTGCTGCCACTGCTACATTGTGTTTTCGTTTTAAGAAGTCTTCGGCCGATTAATGATGAGTTGTTTGTACACGTGGGAGAAAAATCCAGAGCGACCGAAGAAAACCCACGCATTGCGCGAGCGGAGCAACACTCCGTCCCCGTAAAGATGGACTAAACGGATGGCGATGAGCCCGCGCTTGCTGTTACCGCACCTGAGAGCGTTCAACGCGTCGGCTTCGCCCGTTGGCCGGGCCACGACAACTCTCGCAAGGACGATCCGATACAGCAGAGCTTTTGTAGAAAGTCGTCTCGCCGTCTGAGACTTGCCCTCCGTAGAATTCAGCCGCATTTATCACGGGGGGGGGGGGGGGGGGGTGGGGAGGGGGGTTTGCCCAGCACGTACCTAAAAGCGGGTACCTCGTCAGGCAAGGCGGCGATGGCGAGATTGCGTGCGACGCGGCGTCACGAAGCGGGGAACGGCTAACGTGCTTATCGCGCGTCAAACCGTTCCGAGGACGGGCGCGCGTCGTTGGAACGCGTTGGCGACGGGGTGCGTGGTGTTCCCTCTCCTCGCGTTCGCAGCCAAGGGGACCGACGTGGCGGAGGTGGCGAGTCCCGGCAGGAGGGCGTGGAGGAGAGCCGGGCGCACCCCGGAGACCGCGGGGACCGCGGCTCAACCCGCGGTGCCCTCCCACGGAGGTAACGGTGGCAACCGGCAATTTCTCACGGCACCGTCACGGTGGCGGGGGGGGGCACCGAGCCACCACCGCTGAGATCCCGGGTTCCAATCCGGCTTTCAGCCGCTGCCCGTGGTCGAATCCGGGTTCTCAAGCACAGAGAGTCGATGGTCTCAGCCCCGTCGCCAGTGACCGAGCGTGAAACTTGGTTCTCCTTTTAAGGTGGCCAAATTCCACCTGAGAATGAAAGGTTTCTACTGTCGTGAGATGATCAGGGAGGGTGGGAAAGTGCTGCTTGTGAGGGGCCTCGGAGGTAGTTCCTTGATGCCAGGTTCCACGGGCCGGTCGAGACATCCGGATGGATGCTTCGTGTCGTGAAATGACGCCAAACAGCCAATCGGGATGAAATCGGGGAAGAAGATGACGAGAGAGAATGTTGATGTTTGGATGACCGAGTGATTGGAGCGAGCGCACGTCTTTATACGGCAGCTCAAGCGTGGAGCTTCACCCACAGTGAAGCGTACGGGAGGGGGACACGCACGGGGACACAGCACACGGGGGGCACACTGCACGCCGCCGCTAACCGGACGCCTCTCCCCCCTCCGCTTTCCCCGTTGACCCCGTCGGCTCGTCCGCCAGCTGGAGGAACGGGCGACGACGCGGACGACGACGACGATGACGACGGCGACGTGACGCTGCAGACGAGCGAGGAAGTGTCTGAGCACGGCGCACCTCAGCGAGTACGACCTGCAGCCGAGCCGGGCCGCGCGACGCCGGGCCGCCCGCAACAACAACAACAAGCAGAAGAAGCAGCAGCAGCAGCCGCAGCAGCAGCAGATCGACCTCTCGGAGGGGCAGGAGGAGCACCGCCCCAAGGGTGAGGTGGACGTCGCGTGCACGCCACGCTGTCCTCGGTGGCTGTGGCGCGGTGCTGCGTAGCGGTCAGCAGGGGACAGTATGGAGGTAGACGTGGTTGTACTGTACTCCTACGCTCCCACGTCTGTGCTCTCCGCCACCATCGACCCTGTGCCGAGCCGCGTGCTGAAGCGGCCCCACGGCATGGGGATGGCCTTCATCCAGCAGTGGATTGATAAAGGGCTGTGCGTGTGCACGTGCCATTATAACAGATTCTTATGCAACGGACCACCCACTGACACCGTGACCTTTGCAGGGTCAGAGGAGAGTCCTGTGCCGGCGCCCGAGGGCAGGGCGGTGGACGGGGCGGCGGATGGGGCGGACGGTTCGGAGGACACGGGGGACGTCACGGCGGGAGACGGAGTGAGTCACGGGAGCCACGAGCAGGAGGAAGAGGAGGAGGAGCAGGGGAAGCGGCGTCCAAAGCGGCGCGAGAAGAAGTCCAAACCGAGCGCCGGCGCGGCGCTGACCAACGCCCTGCACGCCGGTACCGCTCGCGACGAGACGCACTCGTGCCACGTCGCGTCTCCACTCTGGCTGCGCCGGAGATTCGTTGTTGTCGATTGTTCCGCTCGTTCTGCCCCGAGAGCTTCGCCGAGTCTCGGGACTCTTTCAGGAGGTCCCTGCAAAGTTGTCGCAGTAGGGGGGACTGGGAGGTGGGGGCATGTGACTGCTGTGTTTGTCTGAGATCCCAGTTGAGTAACTGAGTGTAACTTTTCAGCATTGGTAAGTTTTGTCAATATCAATTGCGCGATTTTTATTGGCAAATCTGAATGAGTGTGTGATGTTGTGCTGCGGTGTGCTGCGGTGTGCTTCCCCCACTGGTGCAGGCGCGGCGGACCCGGGCTACTACCGAGTGCGGGACGAGCTGTACACGGCGTGCAAGGTGGGCGACGCGGGCACTCTGCGCCGCATCCTGGGACCTCTGCTGCCTCGCCCTGTTGACCCCCACCCTCACGACCTGCCACTCCCCGAGGGGTCGTCCCCTCTGCCCGAGGACTCCGCTTCAGGCTCGCCGCGCGCCCCGTCTGGCGGCCAGCCCCACGCCCCCGAGAGCACGGAGGAGAAAGGGAGGTTGGCGGAGGGGGCGGCCTTCCCAGAATGCAGTGCGGAGGCGGTGGCGGCCATGCTGGCCGAGGCGGTGGGGGCGGCCGGCTGGACGCTGCTGCACGTGGCGGCCGCCAGCGGGCAGAGGACGGCCGCACGGCTGCTCATGGAAGCCGGGGCCGACCCCACCATCAGGTGTCGCAAACAATTAATTTAATCTCAAATGAATGCGCGTCATCGTCATCACCGTCATCAACATCAGCATCGTCTGCCATGATCTATCCGCTGCTGGGCTGAGGTCTCCCAAACCGTCACCCTCTCTCACCACCCTCCCGCGATGTAGCAGTCGGTCGAGTATCGCCACACGAGTTTATTCCGTCGCTCCATTTCCACGATGGACGTTCTCTTGGGTGCGCGAGTTTTGACCACAAGGGCCATCGTCCCTTCCAGCCACGATGTGTCCTGCCAAAGTGTGCTCGGTTTTATTCATTTTAAATGCAGTCTCAACTTCAGACCACCGTCTTGCAGCCACCGCCGACGGGCCGTCGTGCCGCCGCCGGCGCGGCGAGCTCACCGCGTCGCTCTCGCCGTGCGCCCGTGTGCAGGGACAGGAAGGGCCGCCCGGCGTACTGCGCGAGCGCCGACAAGGAGACGCGCCACGAGTTCCGGCGCTACGCCGCACAGCGCCCGGGCAAGTACGACTACGCCAGGGCCCAGGTGGGCGCGCAACGTCGACGACGCACCGGATTCTGTCGCTAGATTTTCGCGACTTTTTAGGGTTCCCAAAACAACGGGACGTCAAAACGACAAAGCTCTGGTGACTGTCTGGACGAGTCGTATTAAGCATCCGTTATCAGTTTACCGTGTGTATACTTGGTAAGCTGTCTTGTGTGTCACTCAGGTGACCCTAAGTCTACTCAGTGTGGGCGCCACAGTGGCGAGATGTTAACTACCTCGCCTGGTATACAGGAGGCGTGGGTTCGATCCCTACACTGACACCTGTTGTATATTTGGAGTTTGCGTGTCTGCCCGTAGCCGCGTGGATTTTTCTCAGGGTCTTCCGGTTTTTCCCTCCACATTTAAAACCAACACGCATTTAGAGTGTTTCGCTGCTATAAATTTCCATACGATCAGCCACTTCGTTGAGCAATCATTTGTAATCAGTTCGCTTTTGAAAAAGAGCTACATAGCTCAGTGGACCTTACCTGGTAAAATAAAAAGTTAATAGTTTGGTTTACTCAGCCTTAAATTAATACCTCACTCCCTTGTGCGCCGTGCCGGCCACGCTAACAGCACTTGGCGTACACGAGGTCACCGCACGTCTCGCCGCCCGCAGATCCCAGGCCCGCTCACCGACGAGATGGAGAGCGACCGTGCGGAGCGCAAGCGGGCGCAGCGAGCGGCGCGGCGCGTCAAGGACCGCGACCAGCGGGAGGAGCAGCGGCGCCAGGAAGCCGAGGATGCGGAGACGCGACGCTTCGCCTCGCTCAGCGACCGCGAGAAGGTGCCGTGTCGCCCCGACTCCATTCCGTGTTGTGCCTCGATCCAAACCCGCCCGAGTGACATCTCATTCTAGCGTCTCCGACGTTCATCATTCACCTCGAGGCACGAGGACAAATCGCCGCTTGAGATACTAACGGGAGAATTGTAGAACAGGGACCAAATGCGGCGTTATCTGTAACGCTGCTGCACAGACGATACACGCGCGCGCGCGTTCGCGATTGCTGCGGGCGCATCCGAACGGGATTGCGCTGCGCAACACCGAGTCGGTGCCGCCTGTAACACCGAGTTGGTGCTGCGTGTGCAGAGGGCGCTGGCAGCGGAGAAGCGGCTGGCGCAGCAGGGAGCAGCAACGTCGGCCGCAGCAGCGCCGCTCGGCAACATCAGGTGCCCCCAACGTGACGCGGGCACGCCAGCACCTGGGCTCACGCGTGTTCGCAAGAATCCCCCGTGTTGCCCTTGCAGGCTGTTGGGGAAGAATTGCTCTTAGTGAGCACCTATTCAGGCTGGGACAGCCACCTTTGTCTCCCCAGATATGTATTACCATCGTCACTTTTGTCTCGGTGCGTGTTTGGGTGTGAGCAGGTTTGTATAACGTTAATCGCATTACCCCCCCCCGCCCTGCAAGCGTGCTGCCAGCTCTCTCAACCTCTCGCCGAGTCTCACCCCTTCACTGTGCTCCCCCCCCACCTCTCCCACCCCCCCCCCCCCCCGTGGCCCACAGGAGGTGCTGGCAGTGTGGGCAGTCCCTCCAGGAGAAGACGCCCTTCGAGTACTTTGACTTCTCGTTTTGCACCATCGCCTGCCTGCAGCAGCACAAGCGCTCTGGCGCCAGCGCCAAGCCTTGAGGTGCCACTGCGTGCAGGCACGCACGGCGCTACGGTTCACGGGAGCGGGTTAAGGGACGAGCGTTTTTTTAATACTTCGAGGTACAGTGGCCAGCGTGGTTGATGCTCGTGCATCGCAGTACGAGAAGGACCTGGGTTCAATTCCTGAGTCAATGGTCCTCCTGTTCTGCATGGGTTTCCTCCAAAAACAAACATGCAGTGTGACCGGTACTGGCCGAAACATCCACATGCGAAGTGCACTGCAAATTACGCGATTGGGATTACACCCAGCAACATCGCCCCCTGCTGTGACACCGGAGCAGAACACCTCCTGAAAAAGAGCCGAGCGACTGTGAGGTTCTCCTGGTTTAAACAAGCCGCCGAGTCATTACAGAGTTTGCAGTGGGGTCGGCTTAATTTCTCAATGAATATTTTGTGGATGACTGATGGTGCTGGGTGATAACTATTTTCCATGTCGCTGCCCTGTTCACACGTATCGTACCCGGTTCGTTGAACCCGTTCGTGAACGCGTCAGTTTTGCCTTCATGTGGGCTTTTGTTGAGCAAACAAAACCACCCTGATACAAAATCAACAATTCTAAATTCTTTATGAACTCAAAAAATCAAACGCTTACACCCAACGAGTCATCTCACTGCAATATAAACATTGTGTTTAACGTTGGTTACGAAACCAATCGCACCCTGAGCGTCATTGTGACACAAAAGCGTTTCAACTGGACAGCGCGTCGCTCCAATCGGCAAGTGTACAAAGTCACAGGTGATTGCGTCATTAAGAATAGTGCAAAATAAATCGTGTGTGCTGGTCGTCGTCTTCATTCGTTCGGCCGGCGGGAAGTGGTGGGGATTTGCCGCACTCCTCGCAGCGTCAGTGCCAGCGGCCCAGGCCCAGCGGCCGCACCCGCGCGGGGCCCCGCACTGTGCCGTTGAGAACGGGGCGATCCACGAACCGGACGGCACAGGAGGAGGAGGAGGAGGAGAGGGGCGAGCACGAGGCAGGCGCCGCCTCCAGCTCCAGCACACTCACATTGTTGGGGGCGGCGGTGCTGAGCGCCGTCGCCGGCACAAACAGCGTGACCTGCGGGCCCGCGGCGGGCCAGTAGCGGCCCAGGTTGAAGCCGTTGATCCACACCTGGCCCTGTGTGTGTGTGCACGCGCGTGGAAAGCGATTGAGCAGCGGTTATTATGAACCTGCGCTATGAACCTGCCAACCCGGGTAATGTACGTTGGCGGTGTGTGTGCATCTGAACCTTCTTGAGTGGACATTGGTCAAACGTGTCGACACTGACATACATAAATTTACTTCTGGATGAGATGTGCTATATCAATAAAAATATTGACGTTCCTTTCGTGTCTTTTTATTCAATTGGTGATAATATATATTCGTATTGTTAGTAAAAAATATATTTTATACCAAGAATTTGTAGTAAATTACTAATGAGCCAAGAATGTCTGTGTGACGTCACTCCGTCGCCCCCCCCCCCCCCCGCCATCAATAATCATGAACAGGTGGGATCCTCCACATGGGCCCCCCCTCCCCCATCATTAACAATCATGAATGGGTGACGTCACTGCATAAGGGTGGATTGGAAACAAAAAATTTGTTCATGCAAATTAGCTTTCATTTTCACCTGTCTTTCTTTATGGAAAGTGAAGCTAATAAAGACATCGACGCAGCAACTATTATAACGAGCCAAAAGAGGCTGTGTGTGTGTCCCGCGTGTGACCTCATTCCACATGCTGCACCCCTCCCCAATAACCATTAGCGGGTGAAGGAACTCCACATGGGGAAACCACCCCCCTCATTAGTAGTCATGAGGATGACGTGAGGCACCCTCCCCCCGCCATTAATAATCATGAGTGGTGACGTCACTCCACACGGAGCTCCCTCATCAATAATCTTGAGCTGATGACGTCACTCCTGTGAACCCCACCCCCACAATAATCATGAGCAGTGACGTCACTCCACACGGAGCTCCCTCATCAATAATCATGAGCTGATGACGACACTCCTGTGAACCCCACCCCCACAATAATCATGAGCAGTGACGTCACCCCACATGGAGCTCCGCCCCTCATCAATAATCATGAGCTTATGACGTCACTCCTGTGAACCCCACCCCCACAATAATCATGAGCAGTGACGTCACCCCACATGGAGCTCCCCCCTCATCAATAATCATGAGCTTATGACGTCACTCCTGTGAACCCCACCCCCACAATAATCATGAGCAGTGACGTCACCCCACATGGAGCTCCCCCCCTCATCAATAATCATGAGCTTATGACGTCACTCCTGTGAACCCCACCCCCACAATAATCATGAGCAGTGACGTCACCCCACATGGAGCTCCCCCCCTCATCAATAATCATGAGCTTATGACGTCACTCCTGTGAACCCCACCCCCACAATAATCATGAGCAGTGACGTCACCCCACATGGAGCTCCCCCCCTCATCAATAATCATGAGCTTATGACGTCACTCCTGTGAACCCCACCCCCACATTAATAATCATGAGCAGTGACGTCACCCCACATGGAGCTCCCCCCCTCATCAATAATCATGAGCTTATGACGTCACTCCTGTGAACCCCACCCCCACAATAATCATGAGCAGTGACGTCACTCCACATGGAGCTCCCCCCCTCATCAACAATCATGAGCTTATGACGTCACTCCTATGAACCCCACCCCCACATTAATAATCATGAGCGGGTCATTATTTTCGATTGAATATTTCAGATTAACTGCAATACACCCGTCCTTGGACGGGCTATAGGCTAGTATGTTATATAATCAATAAATATGTGAAAATATTGACATTATTTTTCTTGCTAATTATAACCTATGTCGTTTTTGGTTCAAAATCAGTGAAAATTTCTACTCGTATTTTCCGTTAAAATGTTATTTTATATCAAGAATTGGTAGTAAATATACTATATAAGCAATAAAAATGTGAAAATATTGACATTATTTTTCTTGCTAAAAACGGCATACTAACCTATGTCGTTTTTGGTCGAAAATCAGTGAAAATTTCTACTCGTATTTTCAGTAAAAAAATTATTTTATATCAAAAATTGGTAGTAAATATGCTATATAAGCAATAAAAATGTGAAAATATTGACATTTTTCTTGCTAAAACGGCATACTAACCTATGTCGTTTTTGGTCCAAAATCGGTGAAAATTTCTACTCGTGTTTTTTGTAAAAAAATGATTTTATACCAATAATTGGTAGTAAATATGTTATATAATCAATAAAAATGTGAAAATATTGACATCATTTTTCCTGCTAAAACGGCATACTAACATATGTCGTTTTTGGTCCAAAATCGGTGAAAATTTCTACTCGTGTTTTTTGTAAAAAAATGATTTTATACCAATAATTGGTAGTAAATATGTTATATAATCAATAAAAATGTGAAAATATTGACATCATTTTTCCTGCTAAAACGGCATACTAACCTATGTCGTTTTTGGTCCAAAATCGGTGAAAATTTCTACTCGTGTTTTTTGTAAAAAAAATGATTTTATACCAATAATTGGTAGTAAATATGTTATATAATCAATTTAAATGTGAAAATATTGACATCATTTTTCCTGCTAAAACGGCATACTAACCTGTCGTTTTTGGTCCAAAATCGGTGAAAATTTCTACTCGTGTTTTTTGTAAAAAAATGATTTTATACCAATAATTGGTAGTAAATATGTTATATAATCAATAAAAATGTGAAAATATTGACATCATTTTTCCTGCTAAAACGGCATACTAACCTATGTCGTTTTTGGTCCAAAATCGGTGAAAATTTCTACTCGTGTTTTTTGTAAAAAAAATGATTTTATACCAATAATTGGTAGTAAATATGTTATATAATCAATAAAAATGTGAAAATATTGACATCATTTTTCCTGCTAAAACGGCATACTAACCTGTCGTTTTTGGTCCAAAATCGGTGAAAATTTCTACTCGTGTTTTTTGTAAAAAAATGATTTTATACCAATAATTGGTAGTAAATATGTTATATAATCAATAAAAATGTGAAAATATTGACATCATTTTTCCTGCTAAAACGGCATACTAACCTATGTCGTTTTTGGTCCAAAATCGGTGAAAATTTCTACTCGTATTTTTAGTTTTAAAAATATTTTATACCAAGAATTGGTAGTATAGCTCTATATATATAAAAGGGAAATTTGTTAATGTGCCTGTTTAAAATGTTTAGAGTACTTACCGACATGCAACACATTTGAAATTTGCCAGACTGTACACCATGCAAACATAAAAATACACTTTTGTTTTTTTGGGGGGGGGTGGGGTCAATAATGCATATTTTTTGCACGGCAAGTGAGCTGTGACGTCACATCTGTCATGTGACCCGCGCATGCGGAAGCGTCACGAAGTTTGCCTGCTGATGTCACGCCCCCCCCCAACCCTCCGCAGCACGAGTAAAGTGCCATACAAATGTGTTGCAGGTCTCAGGCGTTCTTCGCGCAGCCTTGCTGCTTTATTATTTCAGTCGTTTACTGCCGTACTCACCCTGAAAGTTGTGTGTGTCTGCAGCAAGCGCGTGTATGTGTACCTATGGACGCGCGCACGTGTGTGTGGGGGGAGCCGTAGTACAGTGGTTAGCGCGCTGCGCTACGAACCCGGCGACCCGAGTTCGATTCCTGCTCACGGCCACCACTGGTGACTATTATTTTAACAGCTCCTGGGCCTCCCCTAGGTCGACTCAGCCTCAAACGAGTAACTGCTGTGGTGTGAATATTGCCACTGGGGAGACAGGCGGCCGGGGCGTTGTGCTGGCCACCCACCCCCTTGTGTGCTATATAATCAATGAAAATATTGACGTAATTTTTCCTGCCGTTTTTGGTTCAAAATCAGTGAAAATTTCTACTCGTTTTTTTTGTAAAAAAAATGATTTTATACCAATAATTGGTAGTAAATATGTTATATAATCAATTTAAATGTGAAAATATTGACATCATTTTTCCTGCTAAAACGGCATACTAACCTGTCGTTTTTGGTCCAAAATCGGTGAAAATTTCTACTCGTGTTTTTTGTAAAAAAATGATTTTATACCAATAATTGGTAGTAAATATGTTATATAATCAATAAAAATGTGAAAATATTGACATCATTTTTCCTGCTAAAACGGCATACTAACCTATGTCGTTTTTGGTCCAAAATCGGTGAAAATTTCTACTCGTGTTTTTTGTAAAAAAAATGATTTTATACCAATAATTGGTAGTAAATATGTTATATAATCAATAAAAATGTGAAAATATTGACATCATTTTTCCTGCTAAAACGGCATACTAACCTATGTCGTTTTTGGTCCAAAATCGGTGAAAATTTCTACTCGTGTTTTTTGTAAAAAAAATGATTTTATACCAATAATTGGTAGTAAATATGTTATATAATCAATAAAAATGTGAAAATATTGACATCATTTTTCCTGCTAAAACGGCATACTAACCTATGTCGTTTTTGGTCCAAAATCGGTGAAAATTTCTACTCGTGTTTTTTGTAAAAAAAATGATTTTATACCAATAATTGGTAGTAAATATGTTATATAATCAATTTAAATGTGAAAATATTGACATCATTTTTCCTGCTAAAACGGCATACTAACCTGTCGTTTTTGGTCCAAAATCGGTGAAAATTTCTACTCGTGTTTTTTGTAAAAAAATGATTTTATACCAATAATTGGTAGTAAATATGTTATATAATCAATAAAAATGTGAAAATATTGACATCATTTTTCCTGCTAAAACGGCATACTAACCTATGTCGTTTTTGGTCCAAAATCGGTGAAAATTTCTACTCGTGTTTTTTGTAAAAAAAATGATTTTATACCAATAATTGGTAGTAAATATGTTATATAATCAATAAAAATGTGAAAATATTGACATCATTTTTCCTGCTAAAACGGCATACTAACCTGTCGTTTTTGGTCCAAAATCGGTGAAAATTTCTACTCGTGTTTTTTGTAAAAAAATGATTTTATACCAATAATTGGTAGTAAATATGTTATATAATCAATAAAAATGTGAAAATATTGACATCATTTTTCCTGCTAAAACGGCATACTAACCTATGTCGTTTTTGGTCCAAAATCGGTGAAAATTTCTACTCGTA